CAGAAATACAGGCCAAGAGCTCATCCCAAACCTCATGGCAGTCACAGCTTCCTCGTGAGGGGAAGGGGGACAGGCCCTGAGCTCTGCTCTGCAGGGACCAGTGACAGGACTCGAGGGAATGGCCTGAAGTTGTGTCGGGGGAGGTTTAGGTTGGATATTAGGAAATGTTTCTCCACCCAGAAGGTGGTTGGTTGGGCACTGAACAGGCTCCCCAGGGCAGTGGGCACAGCACCAAGGCTGCCAGAGCTCAAGGAGTGTTTGGACAAGGCTCTCAGACACATGGTGGGATTGTTGGGGTGTGCTGTGCAGGGCCAGGAGTTGGACTTTGATGATTCCTGTGGGCCCCTTCCAACTCAGGGTATTCTGTGACTCTGATGTAGTGCCTGAGGAAGAGCTGTGTTTTATTATACACACATATAGGGCAGGAGGTTGACACTGGATGATCTTACAATCCCTTCCAACCCAACCCATTTTATGGTTGTTTGTTTAATATCATAGAATCATGGAATGGTTTGAGTTGGGAGGGACCTTTAAATGTCATCTAATCCAACATCCTCACAACGAGCAGGGACATCTTCAACTAGATCAGGTTGTTCAGAGTCACATCCAACCTGATGACCTTGAATGTTTTCAGGGATTTGGCATCCACAGCTTCTCTGGGCAGCCTGTGCCAGTGTTTTACTGTGCTCACTGTGACAAAAACTAAACCATACAGCAGTTTACACTGACTTAGGTGGTCCATCCTCCCTGGGTAGTGTTTAGGGTGCTGCAGAGTGGCTGGTGTTGAACTTGAGAGACATCTTGCCCTTCTCTCTGGGGCTCAGCCTGAAGCCACTCAAATGTTTGCACTGCTGTGGTCAGTACATGTGCAAAGAGCAGAGCTCATGGCTTGGAATGGACCAAGAAATGTGGGGAGTTAATTAAACAGTTGTGGCCTGTGATGCTTCTCATGAGCCTTTAAGGCCCTGCTGCAGTAAAACCTCCTGAAAACTGGTTATTCAGGCCTGTGGCTTCACCCCTTGCCTTTCAATAGTGTTTTATGTATTAACTGTCATTAACACCCATATAAATGAGCCAAAGGTCATCTTGTTTCTTATTTACACTTTAATTCCCTTCAGTGGCTTTTATGCCACAGCGTATTTTTGGAATCTGCTTAGTTTCCCATCCTGGTTCTCCTCACTATAGTCTCTTCAGCTTGTATAAGGATTACTGACTTTTTTTTCCCCTTTCCTTTCTGCACGGTTACTTTGCTCCCTTTGTTCATCCATCCCCTCCCACCTGGCAGGGAGCCTTATGGAAAGGTCATCACCTTGTTCCCTTTCCAAACTCATCTTTAAACTCCTTTGTCCTCGTACCTGCAAAGAGAAATGACAGCAGTGAAAGAGCTGAGGTGCTGAGGTCCCTCCAGTGGTGCTCAGGACTCACACAAATCCCCTTATTGCACTTTAGCAATCACTGTGCCTCTGCTGAGCCTGATATCTCCCACCTTCCATAAAGAAGTGATTTCACTTCATTTACACTGCAATTAAACCAATTTAGGCCAGTTGCCTTCCCTCCTCTTTGCATTTTCCAGCCATGGCCTAAACTAAAACACATCTCCATTTCCATAATGAAACACTTTTTTACTGTGAGGGTGACCAAGCACAGGAACAAGTTACCCAGAGATGTGGTGCAGTCTCCATCCTTGAAAGACTCCAAGAATATCCAAAAGGCATCTGGTCATGCTTCCATTCAACCAGTTTTAGGTGACCCTGCTTGAGCAGGGGGTTTGGACCAGGTGACCTCTGAAGGACTCTTCCAAACTGTGATTGTGGGAAAGCAGGAAACTGAGTTCTTGTAAGACATTACAAGGTTATTGTCACCATAAATGAGACTCAGTTGTGGCTTCTTCAAGTGAAATTTTTTGTTATTTATTTTTTAAATGGAAAATCTCATCTTGTTGCTTTTAGGAGCAGATGCACCGGTCTGACAGTTGGTAACATTTCTGATCAAAATGAAATGCAAACTCCACAAAAAGCAGATTGTTTCATGGCTGTTAACTAATACCACCAGAGTGAGGGGACTCTGTTCACCCCAGGGATTTGAACCTTCTTTTTCCACAACCTAGAGAAGAGTCTGGAGCACAAACCTACTGGCAGTGGGATGCTTTCCATCCTCAGTGAGTCTTCTCCACTCTGCATTGCTAATTACATATAATTGAGTTATAAACCCCGGTCTCCTTTCTCATTAATTCTTCAGGAATACAGTTTAAAAAGTTTTAGCTCCAGTCTGAGAGGAAATGAGAATTTTTGGGAAATCTGGTGAACTTCCAAAGGCTGGAGATGCTCTTTTCAAGCCTGGAAGCACTGTCTGTTCTGATGCTGCCACTTGGGTTTTCAGAGTACTTCGTTGGTGCATCATTCTAGGGAAAACTTGTGCTACAAAAACAGTGAGAAACAATTCTGTAAAATGGCACATACAGCTTCTGATGCTTTGAAAAATTTACCTTTCCATTGACAGATGATCAGACTTTGTTATCAAAGTCTAGTGGATAAACTGAGAGCAACAGAGACCACAAGAACTGGCTGGATTTTCACTGGGGATCTGTGAAACATAAAAATCTCAGTTTAATACTTGTCTGAAGTTCACTGTCTGCAAACCTCAGAGCAAGAACTAATCTTCTGAGACACTCTTCCAAATTTTATGTTTTTTTTTTCAATATAGAAATTAATCTGGTAAACAGTAGTAATTAGATATGTTGTTTGGTCTGAGGGGAGACATCAGCCATCGCTTGAGCCAAAACTGCTGTGAGGTAAAATCTTTAGTTTTTTAACCTTGTACTTTTTACACCTCTCAGACATCAGTGAACAAAGATTTCTTGTATCCCGCCATGTGGGTGAAGTTGCACATCTAAAAGTGACATGAGCAGCAAAGGGTGGTAGAAAAACTTCTGTGGGAAGTGAGTTTCTCTGAAATCAAAGTAATTATTATTATTCTTTTTAATCCCAGTGATGCTGTGTCATTGTGCTTCCCTCTACCTGAGTTTCCCACATCTGCTAAAGTATTAAGACAACTTGAGAGCAGCAAGAATTCTAAAATAATCAAACAATTGTGAGGAAGTGCAATCAAAAAGAAGAAACATGAGAAAATTAAGCTGAAAGAAGCACCCCTTAGTTCACTGAGGATAAGAAACAAGGAATCACAAAACCACAGTGAAATCTAAAATCATGCCCAAACAGAAAGGAGGAGTTTTGAGCAGGAAACAGGAAGCAACGAAGTTCAGATAATGGGATCCATTGTAATGAAGAAGAAATAACAGGAATTACATAACACCTCAAAAAAAAATGGTACTGAACAGTCATGTTCTTGATTTTGTTTGCCCAAGATCTCTTACTATCCCAGTGTGAAGCCTGGTCAAAGGAACTGCAAACAGTGACAGTGCAGGAAAAGCCTGAGGAGCAGCACCAAGGTGTGCTGGAGTTGCTTCTTCTGGGACAGCTGTGAAAATGAACCTTCAAGAGCTTTCATGGAGTTCAGATCTGCTGTAAAGGCAAATTACAGGGATGAGTTTAGTGTCAAAATCCACCTGTCAGGAGGGTTCAACAAGTGACTGAAGCCAAGGGTCAGGCTGCTGCTGATTTCAGAGCAAAACGAGTCCCTGGCTGGGAAGATGTTCAGATGACTCAATTGTCAGAAATTTCTGCAGGTGAAACTCGAATATTTTCATGACTCACAGCTGCAGAATTGATTTGCTCCTGTTTGCAGAGGTTTTCTCACTCTTGTGTGCAAAGAACCCCATTGTTGGAAACGTTTGCAAAGCTCTTGAGTTTCACTGCTGCCATTTTTCAGCTAAGAAGCAAGTTTTGACTGCTGTTTGTTCATCCTGGTTCATTGTACCAGCTTTCCAGGCAGGGGTGACAGTTTTGTGTGATGAATGGCACCAAAGGAATGCCACAATTACAGGATTCCTGTGAGGTGGGCAGGGTAGGGATGGGTGGTCAGAGAAGGTGCTGGGGGAATTTGCAGTGTATTGTTGAATGTGTTTCTGCTTTCTTATTTCTGTATGGCCAGCATGTATCTTGGCCTTTTAGGGTACAAACCTCTCAGGGTAAAGCTTATCCTGATCGCTGCTCCCTCCTCCTTTTGCTGGATTAAGCCAATTTGGGTTTAAGGTGCAGCTGGGACAGGGAGCAGAGGTGTTTTCCAAAGTGAGAAGTGCTTTGTTCTTACAATCCTTGGTGGATCAGGAAGCCCAGAGTACCAAAGAACCACGTGAACTTCAGTTTTGCCAGTTTTGGCTGAAGGAGTGAGATGTCCTTGTGTTAATTAAGGCTCTTTTTAGCTGGTTGGAGGCCCCAGGCAGTCATCCTGTCCTTGAGTACACACGTTAAAACAGGCAGTACAGGTTGTCAGGATGTGTTTTCTCTCCCTTCACAGCCAAATTTTGAAGTGTTTGGTCCTCAGACAAAGAGTGCAGTAGAATTCCCAGGAATCACATTTGACCAGGCAAGGTTTGGGTTTGAAGGACCACATTTGGTTCCCAGGCCCCCAACCTTACCTGCACCATGTGAAGTGAGCATTTCATCTGTCCCTGTCTCAGCTTCTCACAAGCACAAATAACTCACTGATCTGTTTGGATAAAATTTTTCCACAAAAGAAGGAAGGAACAAGAAGGAACAAGGCAATGTGACAACAACCCTCTCAAACAATAGTGGTGCAGTGCCAGCAACCAAAGGGTCTGGGTACAACTGGCATTATGTACCATTAGAAGAGAAATTTTGTGGGCAATTCAGTATTAAAATGTACTTTGTTTTTCAGGTCTGCACGTTACTACCCAGTGGGTCCCTCCAGTTTATATGTTCTGTGTAATAGGAAAACTTAATAACAGAGAATTAACATGAGAATTTTACTCTAAGTGTTACAAGAACTGTGCTCTGGCATTTGTATCATGACAGGCAGACATTAGTTTGGTGGAAGGGTGAAAGTTTGTTTTTAAATTGTGGTTTTCTCTTTCCCAACAGGGAACGTGACCAGGAATTGTACAAGCCAGGGCTGGTCGGATGTGTACCCTGCTCCCTACACCGTAGCTTGTGGATATGATTCCAACAGCACTCCAGGGGAAGAGGTTTGTAAACCTGGATGGGTAGACATCAACATTTAACAGGGATCCATATCAGATAGTCTCCCCATGCCCAGTTTTTTCCATTTCCACTCTGATTCCCCAAGAGAGAAGAGCCCTCTGGAGGATCCCTGGAAGCAGAGTTCAAATGCTTGGGCAAAGAAATGATCTTCCCTTTGATTTTATAGAATCATGGAATGGTTTGAGTTGGAGGGGACCTTAAAGACCATCTCATTCCAACCCTCCTGCCTTGGGCAGGGAGACCTTCCACTAGACCTTGCTCCAAGCCCTGTCCAGCCTGGCCTAGGACACTTCCAGGGATGGGACATCCACAATTTCCAGGGTAGTGACAGGAAATCAGCACCTGTGCAGATCAGGCCAATGTCTATGTGATGCCCACACATAACTTCAGGTGCTTCATTTTCCGTGGTGAACTTTGAAACGAGCCCTCCACATTCATATTTGTCCTTAAGTCGATACGGTGATTCCAGTCTTTCTAGGACAACATTAGGATCAAAAGGGATAAAAAGGATATAACTCACTTGCCATCAGTGCTGCCCTGCTGAACTCAACCAGCTGAATATCCAGAGCACTGTAAGGAACACACATTTCCATGCAATATTCCTGAATTTTGTAAGGAAATCCTCAAGCTCTCTGGAATATTGTCTGTATATAAATTAGCAATTGCTGACTGAGGTATAAACAGCTTTATGGGGTAATGTCATTACACAGGGAGGAGTTTGTTACTGGTTTGCTGCCACCTGAGACAAGAAGGGTAAAGTCCAAAGAGGGTGACAAGTGTCAGAAGCAAAATTCACCTCACCTAACTCAAAGTTCAGCATCTAATCTAAACTAAACTAGTCCCCTATAACTGTCACATAGTCAACAAGAGAAAGCTTATGCTGGAAAAGAATCACATTTCACAGCAATCAGATATTGTAGTGTTTATATTTTTATATAATATGTTTATATTTTTATATAATATGCTTATATCTTTATATAATATGTTTATATTAAACCTCCTCCCATGTTTGTGGGGGGTTTTTTTCTGTTTTATGACATGTCAGTGTTTGTGAATGTTGGACATAGGAATCTCAATAATGAATGAATATATGTTTCCAGTACCTAAAGGGGGCTTATAAGAAGACTAGAGAGGGGCTTTTCACAAGGGCATGGAGTGATAGGACAAGGGGGAATGGCCTTAAGATGAAGGAAGACAGGTTTAGATTACATATTAGGAAGAAATTCTTCCCTGTGGGGGTGGTGCAGCACTGGAACAGGTTGCCCAGAGAGATTGTGAACTGCCAACCCCTGGAAATGTTCAAGACCAGGTTGGACGAGGCTCTGAGCAACCTGGGATAGTGGAAGGTGTCCCTGCCCATGGAAGAGGGTTGGAACAAGATGATCTTTAAGGTCCCTTCCAACCCAACACATTCTGTAATTCCATATGTGGTGAGAGGTCTCTGCGTGTGGTCACACATTCCCAAGGCACTCAGGAGAGGATCTGAACAGAACTGAGGCAGCTTTACGAGTGGAAGAACATAGAAAATAACCAAGGGAAAGTTGCACAAAGAATTCCAGGGCTCTTCTGAAGAAAGTCTGTCTGCCTTCAAGGTCAGCCACCACTTCACATCCTCAAGTGTCCCGTCCCTCAGATCCAGCTGTGTGGCACCAGCTCAGCACTGCAAAAGCCATTGTCACAGGTCTGCTCTGGGAATGACTTCCATCCAGAGCCCTGGTTTGTGTTGCAGCTGCAGAGGGGATTTGGGAATTCCTGGGACGTGCTTTGGCGACCCGACGCATTGCGGCATTGCCAGAGTGTCGCGTTACCAGGAGAACACGGATTGTGTTCTTTTAATTCTTTCTTAATTATTTTCTCTTGTGAAAGGTGACTGAGGGGGGTGAACATGCAGTACTAGCCTGGGAGGAAGAATAGTTTTTTGTTGGTGGTGTATTGGCTGTCAGTTTGGGGAGGAAGAAGTAAAGGGAATAGGAAAAAAGAACAGCAGGTTGTGTGGGACTCGAGGTCCAGGACAGACTGATAACCTTCCATGTGTAGAACACTTCATGAACTCTTGGGCTCAAGTTTGGGCCAACATGTTTGGCAACTGAAAGACTTTACATCAGTGTTTCTCTTCTTTTTCTCTTGCAAATGGAAATGTTTCCCCTTGTAGACCAAGATACCAAGGGACAAACGTTGAGGTTACTGAAGAGAAACCAAGGAAGATGATTCTTAATTAATCTCAATTTAACATCTACCTGAAATAATTGTTATTATCACATTCCTGGGAAATTAAGCAGAAGCTTTCAGAAGTTAAAGAGACAATGAGGAAATTGCCCAATTTCATTCTGTAAATTGGTCTAGGTCTTCATCTAAATCCAGGCATCCTGCCATGCATTGCCTTCACTTACCTAAATCCCTCTTTTTTCTACTAAGAATATTTTAGTCATCTGAACCCTGAGTGAAACTCCAATTCCATAGATGATCTTTGGTCAAATCCTCTGGTTTGATATCTGTAAAGTAGGAACTGATTGTCATTAGCAAGTGCAAATGAAGAGTGAGAAGTCATTATGTGCTGTTTCCAGAACAGAGATGACCCCACGTGCTACATTAAAGTGAATTCAGAACCATCCCTCTCTACACAAGAAGGATTGGTCATCATGAAATATAAAGGCAGGGAATTGCTTGTTGAATAACACCAAGAACTTTCCTGCTCCTGGGAATAACTCTAAGAAGCAAAAGACCTATATCTGTATTCACATTGGAGAGCTTCCATCCACCACCCCACTGCTGCCATCTCCTGTGATATCCCTTAACTTCCTTTCCCCCATTTCTCTGCTCTCCTAAATACAGTGTGGGACAACCTCTTCCTCAAACACAGTCCCCTACCACAAGCTCCCTCCTTCTGCTGGCCAGGTCTTTCCTGGAACATTTCTGCTCTGGTGCCACCAAGAAGGAAACTAAATAATGAGAGAAAGATGAAACCAAGAGGAAAGAGGTTGACTGCTTTTACTGGAAAAGTCTTGGCTGCCTTTGAGATCCCAAGGTTGGAAAGAAGACTTAATTTAGGTAGCTTTGAGTGTCTTAACCCCCCTCCAAGCTGGCTTGTGCAAATGCTAAAGGATTGCTGCTCATCTCAGCCCCACTGGTTCTCTAAAGCACCAAGTCCTTGTCAAGGCCTGTGAAAATAACATATAAAAGTGTCAGCTCTCAGTGTTATTGAAGAGCATTTTTCCAAACAAGGTTAGGTTTAGATTTTCTGTCCAAACTGCTCTTTGTGGTTTTGGTTTTTCGGGTTTTTTATTGAAAAGGAGGACAAGGAAGGCAGAGAAGGGTCAGTCAAGGGCTGGAAAAAAAATGACATTTTCCACAAACTGAGTTAGCTTCTCATAAAAACTTAGATTTTTCATTGATAAAATAAATGTCTGAATACTTTTATCTTTTGTCCTTTATTTAAGCTGAAAATCAGAACGTATTGATTTAGAGTGTTGCTAGAAAGCCTTGGAGAGCTGGAGTTTTACTGCCTTACTTCCCTTTTTTGTTTAGAACAGGATTCCCTGTTGGAATCATGTCCCATGCTCAGGGATTCCCTCTGTGTCCTGTCGAAGAGAAAAGCCACGAACCAATTTCCAACTGAACGTATATTTCTGAATTAACATATATGTATGATTTCAGTGAGAATGTTTTAAGTTACTTGCCTAAACACAGCGTGCAACTTCCACAAAAACAAACCAATTTCCCAAGCAGTTCTGCCCTCAAACTTCCTTAATAAGCCTGAAGCTCCTCGTCCTCCCCACGACAGCAGTGATGTGTCAGTGTGCTCTTTAGCTGAACATTAGTCATTCTTGTTCCACGAGGTTCTAACCATGTAGCTGTCTCTGCAAGTGTCAAACCAGGCTCCTTCCAGCAGGAACATTTCCCTGGTGTCACTCCAGCCTGGTTTTGGAGTGATCCAAGCTCTGCTGCAACCGGACGTGTTCTTATTCACCCGGGTGGTGTTTGAGTCGTGTGCTCTGCTGGATGTGAAGGAGTTGGAGTTGTTTTAAGAGGATGGAGAAGGATGATTCCCTTGCCTCACCAGTCAGTGGTGCTTTATTTAGGAATGCATTTTGGCAGCTCATTGAAAGACCTGTTTTGCCTCTTTCCTCTCCCCCCAGCAAACGGCGTTCTATGGCACGGTCAAGACCGGCTACACCATCGGACACACCTTGTCCCTCATTGCCCTCACAGCTGCTATGATCATCCTGTGTCTCTTCAGGTAAGACCATGAGCAAACAAGGCACTCAAAAGGACATGGAAGCTGTTAAAGTTACAGACTTTATAGGCTGTGAGTGTTACAGATAAATGCCAAAAACTTCTGTCACGTCTGAGTTGGATAGCGGAGGAAAGTTCTCCCGTCTTTAGATACCTCTGTTTTTTAGAATGTGATTTGTGGCCTTTGTGTGACATTTATAACCCAAATCCAATTTATTTAGGTGGATTCATCTCACTAAAGGCAGATTGTTACATGATGGATTCCTGTATTAGAGGTCATTATTCCATAAACCTGTTATAGTCCACAGAGTCCTAGTCAGATATATGGATACTATGGAATTTCTACTCAAAGTAGGTATTCAAAATGGTACAGATTAATCACACTCCAAAACTACCTAGAATCACCAAATCCTAGAATGGTTTGGATTGGAAAGGACCTTAAAGATCATCTCATTCCAACCCCCTGCCACGGGCAGGGACACCTTCCACTAGCCCAGGTTGCTCCAAGCCCCGTCCAACCTTGGACACTTCCAGGGATGGGGCAGCCACAGCTTCTCTGGGCAGCCTGTTCCCTCCCAAAGCCTATTTAAGAAACACTTCCTGCTGTAGTTTTATGGCAAGACAGAAACACCCAGAGCCATTTTAGTCATGCTGGTGGCTCTGAGATGTGCACAAGGGTAGCAGGACTTTCAGGAGACCCAGGCCCTTATGGACTGCTGGGCAGATAGTCTGCAGCTTATCAAGTGGCATTAGAAGCCCAGACTGCAGCAAATCAATTAATCCTCAGTCTCTTGTTTATAAATAAATCAGGCATCTAAATTTGGGTGCCTCAAATGAAGAGGTCTGCATATAAGTTATCTCCTATTATAAAGTTGTTTTTGTAAAGGGAGAACAGCAAAGATCTGTTCAGCAAAGATGTGGTTCCCCCTCCTCCTGTAGGAAAGAGCTTATATTCTAGGATATAACTCTCACACTTAGACCAAGACTGGCCTCACCTTTCAAGAACTTTGCTCTTCACCCATGTGTTCTCTCCTCTCACAAGGGAGGAGTGAATCAGACCCATATGCAGATTATCTCAACAAGGTACAAGGTGCCAGGCTGATGAAACTGTGGAGGTTCACGCTGTTCCTTTGTGGGAAACAGAGTCATTTGACTTCCCTTCACCTGTAAGTAGAGAGAGCTCAGCTCAGCTACATTATCCTGCCATCACCCCAGATCAGGAGCACAACCTCTGCCACGGCACAGGGACTCATTAGGAGCTGCTAATTTGATTGTGCTGCTGAGCGAGGTCTGTTGTGGCTCTGGTGTCTGTACAAAGTACCCATCTGCAGAGTATTGGGCTCTTCACATAGCTGGTGTAAAGTCCCCCTTGAAAAAAAAAGAAAAACAAACCTACTTGATCAAAATTCATCTTCAAAATGTGTGTTTAACCAAATGCTGATTTTTCTCTGGAGAATATTCCCCCCTCTCATGCTAATAAGATTAATATATACAATAAAGTAAAAGGAATGTAATTATTGTGCAGGATATAAATGTACATTTATTGCCAATTTCATCATTTGTATTTTAAAATAATATTATATATAATTTCTTTTTTAACTGCTTTGCGCTTTTTTTCTGATATGCCTTTGATGAATAACTTTTTCTTCACATTCTTGAGATACTGTGAGCTTAACAGAAGAAATACAATTCTCAGACACAGATTATTATTTTAATATGATTTTAAATATTTTCTCCTGATTTATCAAATTGACTACCAGAATTTTCACCCAATCTATGCTTTAAACTAGATGAATTCTGGTGGTGTTCTCAGTATCATTAACAACCAGTATTTTTTTAAGTAATAATATAGTTCATGTTGCTCCAGAAAGCCTGTAATATGTGTTAATTTTGGCAACAGAGGCTAAGAATTTATTTCCCTTCTTGAACAAACATTTCACTTTGGAAATAATGATTGCAGTACAAACATTCTGTAGAAAACAGCCCTTTATTGTGGGCCCAGGCTGCTCAGTGGAAAACATTTCTTTTCCAGCAGAGAGCAGTGGGATGGACCTGTTTTCTGTCATTCTGTATTTTGTCCTGCTTTTCTGAGTAATGAAAAAGCAGCAGCACTGCTGCAGATCTGTGGATCACCACGTTTTGTGGATTTAAAAAGGCTTAAGTGGATTTGTGGTGATGTACATCAGAACAGAGCCTGTCTCGGGGTTTCTAATGTTTAATTGTAACTCCATATCTTGGCAGAAGACACATGCAAATAGGTAAATAACCCCTTTTGAGAAGCCTGGCTATTCAGAAATGTTTCATCTCTTCCCGACAGAAAACTACACTGCACTCGAAATTATATTCACATGCATCTCTTCATGTCCTTCATCATGAGAGCCATTGCAGTCTTCATCAAAGATGTCATCCTGTTTGAAAGTGGAGAATCCGAGCACTGCTTTGTGAGTTCAGTAAGTAGCCTTGCACTTTGAAGTTTCCACCTTATTCTGTTGCCCCTCTTAAACAATGCACCAAAAATTACCTTACAAGTGCACGAGAGACAGGACTTCGTGAAGGTTTCGGGGTGATTTTTCATGTTTGAAAGAAAAAATATGATTGCTGCAGGTCAAATTATATGGAAAGGGAATATATTTATTGTCAGAGTCAAAAATTTATAGGCATCTTGTCCCCTTGTGAGGTTGGACTCGCTGATCTTAGAGGTGTTTTCCAACCTCAACAATTCTGTGAGGTCAAACCCACAACCGAGGCTCTACAAGATTTTGGGGTTCCTGTCAGCCTGGTGTCCATTTCCCAGCCACATGCTAATATTTGGATATCCTGGTCCAAGGACACTTGCAGTGCTGTGTTTAGGGATTCAATAACACCTTTCCCTCCAGAGTCAGACCCAGATTCACGTAACTAACTCCAGGTATCCTTGGGGTAAGTGCCTCTACATGAGTGTGTAAAGTGCAACCATAGTCAGTCAAGCTCTAATTAATATGTTCACTGGAGCCTGGAGAGCTGTTCACCTCATTTGGAATAAGGCACCTGGATTTGGATGGGCTCCCTGGGCTCCAGTGACCCCACCTCTGCAGGAGTTTGGGCAGGAAATCCATGTGTAGACATCATCATCTATTTTTCACCTGGACCTGGCTCCCACGCTCTCTGTCTGCAGCTGTGAGATTTCCCTACTGGGACAATAAATGAGGGGAATAAAGGAGTTGGGATTTATTTTTTTTTTCACTTTCAGTGTTATCAGCTGGAGCAAACATTGAGGAGGGAGAAGGGCTGTTTATCTAAAGGCCATTTTGATGTAAGGGGGCACCAGCCATGGATAAATTTAAGCAGGAAATTGAAATCACCAAAACGAAGAGGTGTGATCACAAATCATTCAAAAAAAAGAAAAAAAAGAACCCTCCATAGCAAATTCATAACATTACATTATGCTTATAACATAACATTATGCTTATAACATAACATTATGCTTGCTGGCAATAGCAGGAGACTGGGAACAGCAATCCAGCAAATCCCTTCTGGACCAGTTTTTTTGTGTCACACAGCACCAGAAAAAGCTTCTCTTTCTCTTCCATCCTTCCAGCTTATTCCTTGCCTTCTGGCTTTTCTGTATCCTAACCCTGAGTCCTGTCCCTGCTGTTAAAATGAACTTTCTGCTCCAGCATCTCTCAGTTGCAGCCTCCTTTCAGCTTTTCCCAAGAACTGTCTGCAGCAGGAAGTGTTCCCTTTGGAATGTCCCTCCGTGCTTTTCCCTCCCAGTGGTTCACTGGGATCTGTATTCTTGCAACTGGTTTTTCCTGGGAGAGTCCATGAATGGTTAGGATGACATGGAAACTGGAATAAAAAAATTCCACTGATGCCAGCTGGCAGAGGAGCCAAGAACCCAACAAACCATGGAGCTTGAACTAACCCCTCACCCCTGGGAGTATCTGCACTGGGTCATGACCACAGAGAGCTGTGTGAGAAGTGTTTCCATCCAGAAACAGAAATACAGGAATTTTCCTGAAGACTCCACAGCTCCTGGAAGCCACTGTGCTTTCAGGTAGACCCATGGGGTGTGTTTATCCCCATCAGAGAACTTTTAAGTTAAACACCAGCTCAGGGTGAATGGCTGGATGATAAACAAGGGTTATAAAATTGAGTGGAACAAATCTGTCTCTGCTGCACAGCCCCTTGCAAAATCTGCACAACCTGTCTCGAACCAATCTTATGGACAAACCTTCAAGTTATAGTGAAAAAAATACCTACATAAAACACAGTCAAAATGCCTTTCCTAACATTCATCTGTTTGGAGAAATAGTTACAAAATCCATTGTGTTCCCGTGGGTTTGGTTGGGTTGGCTTGGCTTGAGTTGTTTGTGCTTTGAAATTGCAGGATAAAGTTTGGCTTGGGAGACTTGGGGACTAATTCATGAACCCAGGACTTTATACACAGTTTCCTGAAGGTTTTGTGTGTAATGGCTGTATGTGGCCTTGAGCTCATTCAGTCTGAGGAGAGATTTTAACAGTTTTGTGAGTGCTATCACCACTGTGCTGATTTAAAACAGGGCAAACCCAAAGCAATAAAAGTGTTCTGTTAGAAGTGAAAGTACCACTCTTAGTTCCTCCAAGGAATAAAAGATAAAGACACCCCTCTCCCAGAACAGATTTAGGGATGCAAAATCCAAATAAATAGAGGCCTCTCCCAGCATTTCTGATGAAGGGACTGAATTCCTGAACTTGGTATTACCTGTAGCAGTAAGAAGATTTAAAATTATGTTTTATGCACCAGCCATACAAAAATATGTTAAGTTCTCCAACAAATATGTCCATGTTTAAATCAACTGGGAACTGCAATACATGAAGGTGTATATGCAATTGAAAAATAGAAAACAAACAACTTTTCCATAGGTTTTACTGCATTTTTACTTCATTTCACCTCGTGTGGGAAACCTCAGTTATGGCATTAACTCATTTTAAACTCAAATAGTTTTGGATTACCATTGAGTTCAGCGTGAACACCCTGAAAAATTAAGTTTGTTGGGCATTCCTATGGAGCCTGGGAATGTGGCTGTAAGCATTTTGGGCTCAATGTAGCCAAAATATGTGTGATGAGCATCACTGAGTCCTCATGTGAGCCAGCACATGCACTGGGTGATGTTTTCAGAGTGATGCGTGGCACCCAGAGCCTCCACGAATTCCTTGATCCTACTTTCTTGATAAATCCTCTCCTGGGGGAGAGAAAATTCCTGCTGGCTGGTTGAAAAAAAATCAGCCTGTTTTCATTGGGCAGAAACCCCAAGTTGGTAAGCAGGGCTTGTTTTCATGCCCAAATGTGACAGGTTTAAATGGTCACTGAGCCCAGGACCTGCTCGAGGTCTTCGTCCCACCTCAAGGAAACTCAGCATCGGTGGCTTTACAAACACCCCTCACACTTTCTCCTCTTCCCAAGTGTCCAACTCTAACAGACTTGTTTCTAGGCACAGTGTGGATCACTTGGCTCAGGTAGAAGTATTTAGGCCAAAAGTCCACTGCGGGATTTTCCAGTGGGAAACAAAGCACTGCAGGGACCTTGAATTTTTGTCGAGGGGTGGAACCAGCAGAGGGGTCTGGTGGCCACACACAGCACGTTGCCCAAGGTGCCAACAGCCCTGAGTAGACCAAAAACACTTTTTCCCTCTCTGTCAAGCCTTCAGTGACAAAGTACATCTGTAATTATGCATAACTGAATCATCCTGCTGTCTTCAAAGGCTTAAAAATAGGCCTGTGCTCAGCTGTGTTAGCCTGGGCTTTGAGCACTTGGGTGCAGAGATGATCAGGCTCAGAGGGCTCTGTGGAACCACCCTCTTGGGCTTCTTCAATAACTGTCCATTTTCATTCATTTTGATTCAGGTTATGTTCTGTCTCAGTATCTGGCCATTCCTGATGGAAAACTTGCCCCCTGTGGCTTTGTTGCATCCAACAATTGCTCATACTGTGGGAAAAATTGCATTTTCCCACCTGGATTTGCCTTTTCCTTTTGTGGGGTTTTTTTTCACCGCCAGGCTCAAGATGCCTCCTCAGAAGGTTTAGTTTTTCACACTTGTTTTCTTAGGTCTAGTGACTTTGTGTCTTGGCATTCCCACACTTTATCTTCCCCTTTCCTTGTCTCCCTGGGGAACACCCTGTGAAACACAGCAGTCAAAACAGCAAACCTGGTGGAAGGATTGAACTGAACACTTCACTTGTTGTTTCATTTGATTTTTTGTGGGTTTATGGATCGGGTTTTATATAGTTTCATTACTCTCATATCTGGATACCATAATAATGATGAACTTCTTACATTTCCAGTCTTGCTGAACAAAAAAAAAAGCCAACAGTTTACCATAAACAAAGATCCCATTCTACAGATTAAACTCAGGCTCGAGTTTTAAACTCTGAAAATTTACTTCTGCTGAAGATTCAGCCACATCATTTATCTTTTTGGTGTTGTATTCCAGTAAGACAAAAACTTCCAACAAAAAAAAAAAAATATTCTTTGCAAAGGAGGTTGGGTCTTCAGCAACTGTGAACTTAACACATATATCTCATATTTTCAGAGTGAAAAATTGGGAGTTTCCACACTAAATTCCTCAGACCAAACTCATAAGAGCTCCAAGCCCCAAAATGAACTTTATTTATGGAAGTTGAAGACAGAGACATTTTCTTTTCCAATGCACCCCCATCTGAGGCTCATCAGATCCATCTGGGAGGACCATGATATTCAGGCTCATGGAGAGATGGAAGAGTAGAAACCTTTTTTATGCAGTTGTGTAAAAGTGAAGCAAATACTAGAGACTCAGCCATTTTACTGGGTTATATCCTTCAGGAAAGGCTGTTCCCACCTACACAGAGGAGGGATGAGCTCTTTAACAGCATCTGCTCAACTTTGGGTGGCTTGGGGGGAAGAGCAGAGCTCTGAAGACAGTGTGATTCTTCCCTTTACTTTAATTAAAGTTGGGTCAGTCCCCAAAATGTGTAAATATATCAGCTGACCCTTTTTTCAGTAGCTCAGCCCATTCCTGCAGAACTGTACCCCTTCCACTGAGCTCAGTGGGTCCAGCCAGGCCCAAAGGTGCTGCTGAGATCAGGAGATGCCTTACAGTCTGTCCTACCTTGGAACTGATGCCCAGTGTGACATGAGGTCCACCTTGTTTTGAGAGGGAAACATTTGGTTTTCATCTCAAGGAGCAGCACAAGGAGAAAATGAAAAATCACTACTTATGGAAAGTATAAGTTTCCCACTGTGCTTTTCTACTCATGTATGACCTGAAGCCCCTAACCCTGTCCACAAATACCTGTGAAATCCAACCATATGGTGCCTGTTGGCTTCAGGAAATATGAGTTCCAATGGACTTGCTGTCACAACACAGACCTGACACACCCATCTCCTCAGTCTTTATTCTGACCATCAGATTAAAGAGATTTGCATCTTCCAGGTAACTTCTGTGGACTGTTA